AGCTGGAGCAAAAATTTATGGCTTCAGATGACGAAGAAATGTTTTTAGCATTATCTGTTTTAAATATTAAATTTTGTAACAGTTTTCTAGACATTTGTCTGTCCATCCTCTTTGGACCATTCACGTAAGTTTTCAATGTATATATATTGCTTTCGAAAGGGAATGCTGAATTGTAACACAAAGACCCAGTTTTCCTTATAGAACTAACCATATGTCTAAGAGAGTTAATATTGAATGTCATCTTTTCTTCGCCATAGTATTCTTCATAATCAACTTCAAATTTTAAAAGATTATCGTCACACCTTTCGAGTTCCTCGTCAGTTTGTGCAGGCTTTAAAGCAGTAAAAGCACTACTCACTAGTAGACTAAAATGTTTTAAAGCATCACCATCCAAAACACTCTTCAAACAAGGTAAACTATAAAGCAATAGCCAATGTTTCAGCTCAGCAGCCTTGGGTTTACCCGATCCTTTAAGAATGCCACTTCTAGGGAGCCTGTGAATGTCATGCGTAGGGGTTATATGCAAAAATCTTTTTTCTATAAATTCCATCTGCTTTTTGGTGATTTTGAATTTAGATTCGCTATCCTTCCATTGATTTAACATTTGCTGAACAACTCCACCAAGTGCATGCAGGTATTCATAGCAAAAAGACCAAACCATATCGAAGTGAGGTAGCTTTGCCATAGCAGAATCACCTTTCACTCCGTTCACTACTTTCCCGGTCCGGATGGCTTCTTCAACATCTGCTTTATGACTTTCGTTAGTCCTTTCAATATCGGGTTAGCTAACTGGATAACGTACTCCATGAGCGCTATGAATGTATTTTCCTACCTGATAACCCCAACTGCATCCATAATATCCATTGAATTGAATTCGATTTTGTATTATAGGACGGCAAACAGAGTCAACAGGACATGCATGAGTACAAAATTTAAAAACAAAATCTTTTTCCTCATACGTTACTTCTATTCCTTCTTCGTATAATTTTTTCATTTGATTAACATATACTTCATCAAGGTACAAATTGAGAAGATTACTTTTTGGTTCAGTTTCAGTTAATAAAAATCCCCCTACTAATACATTTCGAAATCGCAGTCTCGGTGACAAATCGTTCAAAATGATTTGTACGTGCCAGAATCCTCTCTTTCCACTCTTGGTAAGTGGAGCTCCGTCAGTATTCATATTAACAGTTAACATAATATCAGAATCATTTTTTACGCTTGCGAGTATACTCTGATGAATAGATCCAGCATACACGTCATAAGTATCATTAATTTTTCTAGATTCCACATTACATAAAATGTCATCCATAATACTAGGCTCTGACAACAAAAGTTCTAATTGATATTTCAAATCAATGCCTAAAAAGTAATTCAGTGACTTTGAAGTTATTTTATTTTTTGTTTTGCACGCTTCACAAAGAACTTCTTCTTTCCTAGATTTTTCCGTGGCCTTCACCGAGTAAACCTTTACAGCAGAACAACCACTACAGTAAAAGTGATAAGTAACGTGTTCGTCTTGCGTTGAAAAGCACTTATCCATCATGTACTTAGACAGATTTAATTTATCAAATTTTTCTTCAGCCAATACTTTAGTAAATTTACCTAATTTCAACCTCCCTTCATCAGACATTTTTAAATATAACGACAATGCTGTAATCATTGTAATGACATCTCGGACCTTTAAATTCGATTCGCGAAACATGATCTGATTCAAATAGTCAATTTTCTGATTCTCCCTATTTTCATCATCATTATCACTATTACTATCACTAAAATCTACTTCATATTGCAAATCCTCAATATCAGTAAACTCCAAAAGTTCGTCAAACTCATGTTCTTCTGAAGAAGAAATGAGTTCGTCTGAATTGATAATATACTCTTCGGGTTGTTCGGTATGGGTGTATAAAGTAGGCTTCTCACTATTGTTCGTGATTTCACCATCTCTAGTGTCTATAGCAATAGGACTTGTGTCAACTTGACAACGCGGGTTACCTGATTCTGGCGAAGATTTTGGAGCTTCTGCCTCAATTTCCAATGTATCATTTTCAGTAGTAACAATTGTAGAGTTTAAGCCTACAACATAAAATTTTAGTTTAGCTCATTGGAAGGTAATAGAAATTGATATTAATTGTATCTATCTATTAATACGAACGTGAATGAACTGAAAACAATTGATGCGCATTCATTGATATTTTGTTGATAAAAGGTTATTAAATATTATAAAAACTTATTAAAAACTACTGAAAATTATTCGTAATGATAGAAAGCTATTCATAATTATAAAGAAAGTAATTTTTAGTGGTATATACAGTAAGCTTTTATAGTGAGTTGTACCCTTGGCGGATATTGATTCTGTCCACTTTTTGAATTTTTCCCTATGCTAACCAATGTTAAAATTCAAAAAAAGGTGGACAAAATCAATGTCCGTCAGGTGAATTATTATTATATTGAATTATTATTACATTAAATTATTATATCGAGTTATTATCTTGAAATATTTATTGTTTGAAAGTTAATTATTGATTATTATTGGAAACTGAATTAACTATTATTTACATTTATTCGGATATCGAGAGTTCGCTTATCTTATTTATTATCGACTCTCATCAAGAAAGAGTTATCCGACCGAGAGGACATGAAGCAAAGCAGAGCAGTGCAACATAGCAGCCAAACAGCGAATATACATTCTCCACCAATACAGGGAAAAATAGAATCAAAAACTAAGAAATGCAGTGATTTCCGAATTGAAAAAAGGTAAAGCATGAATTTTTAATGTTTTCCCACAATCTGTAGGTGCTGAAAGTCTTAAACCCGAGACAGTTTAACCCAAATGCTTTCACTTAAAGACGCTAGGTGCTATGCGCTTTAAACCTAAAACAGCTTTACCCCAAGTGCTTTAACCCACACAATCTAGGCGCTGTGTGTCTCAATGCCACACAGATAAACCCCAAATGCTTTAACCCACAAACCCTAAGTGCCATGCGTCTTAAACCCGAAATGCTTTAACCCACAAACCCTAGGCTCTGTGCGTCATAAGCCCCAGACTGGTAAACCCCAAGTGCCTTAACCCACAAACCCTAGGCGCTATGCGTCTTAAACCCCAAATGCTTTAACCCACAAACCTTAGGCGCTATGCTTCTTAAACCCCAAATGCTTTAACCCACACACTCTAGGCGCTATCATAAACCCCAGACAGGTAAACCCCAAGTGCATTAACCCGAAAACTGTAGGCGCTATGTCCCTTAAATCCCAGATAAGTAAACCCGAAATGATTAAACCAACAAACTGTAGGCGCTATATGCACTTTAAACCCTCAGATAGATGTATCCCAAGTGCTTAAACTCACAAACTCTAGGCGCTAATACGCTTCTTAAATTCCAGGCAGGTAAACCCCAAGTGCTTCAACCCACAAACTCTAGGCGCTATGTCCCTTAAACCCTAGACAGGTATGGGATGGGATGAATTTCAATGAATCTTTGTTCACATGTTTGGAAATTATTCAAGGAAGAGGGGGGGGGGGGGGGGGGTAGATCTCCAAGCATGATCTATCCATTAGTAAAATTGTTATACAAATTTCGGGAGGTGGTTAATTTACAACTAACTTCCACAAATCGCTGTAACTTTAAATTAAGACATAATTTTTCTACATGTAATGGCTTATTTATAATTTTGTAACCATATTTTTCATAAAAAATGTAGAAATGTATTCAAGGTAGTGAATCCCGCCAGAGCAGCTGGCAGCGTATTTTTATTATTGCTTGCAAATTGCATCTTATTACAGTCGAACCTCCGTAACTCGAACACCCATAACTCGAACTCGACTCTCCCTAACTCGAATTTTTCAAGTTCGAGGCCATAATTTTTTGCAGGCTTCAAAAGCAATAAAGCGCACTCTCCGTTTTCACCAAAACTCATCTCTGAGGTTTCCCCAAAAACAGTCTCTGGGCTTTTCCTACCAACTGTCGCCCCAATTTTATTGCCCTACCTGGCGCGAACCTTATTTTGCAATGCCCGGGTGGCGCGGGGTTTTACTGTAGCCGTCGCGACAATTTTATTACCCCTTAATAATATTGAATAGCTTTTTATCATTATGAATAATTTCAAATACTTTTTAATAAGTTTTTATAATTTTTAATTGTTTTATGAGCGATATTATATCAATAAAAAAGCATTCATTGCTTTGAGGGTATTACCCGCTATATAAAAAACTACTGTTGACAATAATTAAAAAATTTCAATTTGTAGAATTCTTCAATTGCAATTTTCAAAGAAAGAAAAAAAAATGGTCAAAAAATGAATCATTGCTATCAATAAATAACTTATTGTATTTCCTAAAATTATTTAAAAATACTGATATTTTTATATCATAGATTTTTTTATATCATAGATACTAACTTTTCCTTGAGGATGCTCGTTGCTTCCACCTTATTAGAGTCTGCCGACTGACATCACCAGGTTTATAATCCTTATGCAAAACCAATTTATATCTTTTGGAAGGAATATGCAGTTCTTCTTCCTCTGTACTGCTACTGCTACTGTTTACCATTTCTATATGAGCTATGCGGATTATATATAATTAATACACCTTATAAGGAGCGGCATTCTCGTTATGTCTCTCTCTCCCTATATTGCACTCACCAGCTTTAAAACTTTGTTTGGAAATAAAAATGAGCAAATATATAATTAAAGTTTAATCAACGATAAATATATATATTATCACTTCTATAAATGCTATATACAGATTCAGTATTATTCACATAATAATATTGTCTGTACAATATAAGTGATATACTATGAATTCCACAATTATTCAGTGATCTATAATTAGAACAATAAATTAGCAAACACTATTTTTTATATCGGTTATAAATACGGCAACTGATAATCTCTGACGACTAAAACAAGTGCATGCATGATTTGTATAGGGATGGTGGTGGCGCCCTCAATTGATGTTATTTATATTATATTTGTCGAATTGTCGCTGTAGTTTCATAACCACCATAAGGGACGCGGATCAGAATCTAATTCCACGAATAAAATCTTTTATCCTCAGTATCTCCTTTTACCAGTATATTTGGTAGTCGCATATATATTCGACGCTTTTTCGCTAACAATCGTTAAGATGGAAAATCACACCAATAATAAGAGATGTCGAGTTAAATATATAGAAGGAGAGAAGCAAGGAGAATGTGATACAGTTTGTTCTAGTAGAATTAAAAATCACGATTTTAAAAATTGCGTTTTCCAAAAGAATTTGAAGTACAAATTAATGGAGGAAACTGATGAAACAAAAATTACAAGAGTCCAAATAATATTTGTAACCGGTATGTATAAATTTAACATTTAAAACTGATCATTATATATTTTTATTCATACAATTATTTATGCATTATAATCTTGTAAGGCATTTTTAACCATGACATTTTATTTACAATACGTTCTAGAAACCCAAAAAGAAATGGATAAAAAGCTTGAAACGACAAGGATTGTATCTGCTCCAGCTAAATTACTTGAATCAGATCAAGCAAGTGACAGCGACAACAAGATTGCTCCATGTCAAAGTACAAGCAGAAATAATAAAACTAGATCTACTTTCAAGGTAATAATTTATAGATAATTGTGGCCATCTAGTTTTAAGAAAAATTCTATTAATACATATTTGTAGATTACAGTGTGTACAATAGTTTTTTAATACTCTAGTATTGCTTTTAATTAAATGAAATAAATTTTACTTTTAAATTCTATGTCAGATGATTTCATTTCTTTCAATTATATGCCACATGATTTGAATTATTTTGTATTTGCTTATTACCAATTACAATTGAATATTATCAATTGTACACTGAAAACCGATTTCGATTGATTCAACGGAATTTTTTCAATTGAAATGCGCTAACCGATACTACGGTTTATTCAAAGATGATGTTAGTTTATTTTACTGACAAGTTCTGTTGAATCGACACCCCGATTCTGTGAATCGACACCCCGATTCTATTGAATAGACACCCCGATTCTGTTGAATCGACACCTCGATAGTTTATTTTAAGGAAAGTTTCTATAAAATTGACTACTTGTTCGTTGAAAACAACTATACTATTTTGTTAAATTGACACCCAGATGGTTAATTTTAAGGAAAGTTTCTATCAAATTGACTACTTGTTCGTTGAAAACAACTATACTAATTAAGTTATTTTAATAAATATTTAAGTTGAATTAACATGAAAGGATAAATTTTTGATAAAATAGAATTTACTTTTATATTGTTTATGATTTACGATATTTTATGCAAATAATGATTTATGAGTTTGATGATTGAAAGCTATTTTTGTTTTTACAAAGTTTATATTGTAGTAGATAAAGCGCAGTTTACTTTTATATCGACGCTCGCTTATAACCTATAATTAAATAGCTATAGTATACGCAACGCTTATATGTATATATATATATATGTATATCGCTTACAAACATCTCGCTTATTTCGCTATCTTACTTAATATACCAGTAAGATTCTCTTATATACTAACTACAATATACCTTAGCCACTTGCGAGAAAAGGAATTCAAGCCATCTAGTGGGCAATGAAGAAATAATTTATTTAAATTATGATGATAGTGTGAAATGAAGATAGTTAAGATAATTGACAATAAATTGTTTAATTAATAGTTTAATAATATTAAGAATGTTTAATTTAGGTTAGTATTAATTCATTAAATCATATGAAATATTTATAAAGTCACTTTTATTGTTCAAATACACTTACATGTCGTATGATACATATAGTTTAGAATTTCCTATTTTTTGCAAATTATATACTTTTTTATTAACTAAATGTTTTTCAAAAATAACAACATATTGTTTGGTTTCGTTGATTTCGTACGCACAGAAATGATTAGAATAATCTAAAACTTTTAATTTTTTTAAAATAAAAATAACATCATTAGATTCTTTTTTTATTAACAAATTGACTATTTTTCCTAAATCAATTCTCTTCTTTAACACAGCTGTTATTAATACCGAATTTGTATAATATTTAATACTATTAATTGAAATCCAAGAAACCGGGACATAATCAAAGCCAATGTCCAATGACGTAACTTTAAATAATTGAAAATTAGATAACAGATCAGCCGTAGCGAATAACTGCATACCGCAATCAATCGTTTTGCTAAATCCTTGACGTGATAAAAATTTATAATTTAATTGCAACTGATTTCTTATAGCTAAAGTTAAAGCAGAGTTTTTTCTTGATTTCGTTGCATTTGCTATATTTTTTAACGGCCTATGTCTGCCCTCGAAACGCATACATGAAAACAAACGTGGCAAACCTAAAAATATAATAATTGTGATATAATGTAATAAGTGATGGTGCTTCGGTTTCAAAGTACCACTAAAATCTTTACGATAAATTTTATGATGATTCGCTATTTCATTTTTTATAGTAATAATTTTTTGATCGGTTAAGGTTGAATCAAATAAAAGAAATGTTATTTTCCGCAATGACAAATATAACTTCCACGCTTTATTTTTTGTCGGTACGAGATCGCCAATTATAAAAGTTAAGTTGAATATCAAGAATTTGATCTCAGCAGCACTCATTACCAAGCATTTATTTCTTATGTGATCTAACAAGAGCGGTGGACAAACATTTGACGCGTGAATATTCAAATAATTGGCCATTCTTTTTTCAAGTACATTAAACGTGAGTAATTTATCAATAAAAATTAATTGATTCAATACTTCAGCAACTTCATATCGGCAAATCCCTTCCAGGACATCATGCATAGGGTCGAAAGAGACACATTCAAATATATCAAATCCAGGGATACTACTAAATACGCAATAAGTTTTTACACCATTTACTTTTTGTTTAATATCGTTCCTATGTTTTTCAGTAGAGCGCAAAAGATTCAAATCTTCTTTAATTGCTATCTTACAACGATATTTATCCATGTAACACATTCTACATGGAAATTTAGAATTAAAACTTTCGTTAAAACCTAATAGATTGTGTAACTCTAGATTATCACCACTTATGTTAAAAATATCAAAATAGACTGTGAATCTCTTACTATCTACATTTATAGTCACGCCATTTTTCTGTAAATCTATTAGTTGTCGAACTACTGGAAAATAAAGTTTACTATGCTGAACAATTTTTTTGTGCTGAGAACGAAAAATTTGTAATAAAAATATATTGTCGAGTTGACTAGCGTACTCAGGCGGTATTGCAGTGATATTGCAATAAAAACTATGCAGCTTGTTGTATCCCTTTCGTGAGCCGAGAGGATTATTTATTTCAAAATCATCACCGAACAATGATAATGGGAATACAATTTTGTTTGAAAATCGTTCTTTTATATTTCTCACCTTTTACTTTGAAATATCGAACAAATGTAATGACAATTCTCTTTATCTTTAATATAATTAACTATGGACGAAAATACCTGGGGTAATTCTAAAAAATGTTTTAAAACATTTTTTATAGGTATGCTTACAACAGAAATTTCAACTGATGTATATTTTTTCTTTCTACCAAATCGTTTTGATCTTAAAACATTAGCGACACGCAACACTTTTGGTTCAATATAATACAGATTCTGTAAATTTTTCAAAGCTTTGCGATGATTCGAATAATTATGAAATGTATTTTTCATATAGTTTAAAATGTTTGTTAAAGGTTTAGAATTAAATGTCTTATCATTAAGAGATTCAATCTCTGCAACAAAATTTTTGTTATAAAAATTTGAAAAAGCTGCATTTAAAAACGTAATTAAATTTATCGATAAGCCATTTTTCGCATATAATTGAGATACAAAAAGATCCGTTTCTTTTGCAATTTGCCTTTCAAAATCTTTTTTATTTCTTTCCATATTATCACTACTTTTTGATAAATTTAATGGTTGCTGTAACTCGTTTTGTATTTCTAAACATACTTTTCCACTTACTGAATCGATTTTTTCTGAACAGAATGGTTTTTCAATATCTAGTTTTAACTTTTTAGTTAAGGGTTCAACTGTTACTATATTTTGTGAATTAACATTAAAATGCTCTTTTGAATGTTTAATAAACGCACTATTTCTACTAAATACTCTCATGCAATTAGGAATTTTACACTTAAATGTAACACAGTTCTTGTGCCATACCTTCAAATGAGTTGAAAAACTGTTTAAACAACTAAAAGTTAAATCACAAGATGGACATTCCAGTAAAACCATACTGAAAAAATTATTTAAATTATCTTGCACAAGTAACTAAAGAGTAAGAATAAATATAAACTTTAAATTAAAATAAAACCATTTATATAAGGATATAAGATTTAATAATTAACTAGCATTTAAAACTGGCACAAGATAACCTGTATCATTCAAGGTTTCCTCCACATTTAAAGCTAACCGATCCCATCGAGTGCGAATCTCATAAATTCCATATTGCAGTAACAACCAAAGGTGATCACTTTGCGGTGGGTATTGAGCTCTGAAGACGTGAAACGATTGAAAACAAATATCTATAGCTTCAGTTAACGACGACACTTTGTATTCGTAGTCATCAATAATCAAATACGCTGATTCGACTTTGTAGTCTTCTTCACCTACAGCGATTACATATGATTGTAATCTGATGTTTTTAATAATTGAATATGTTTTCTTATTTTCTTTGGCCCTTTCAATATCACCATAAGTCTGTAAATTTATTTTATAAAAATTGGAAAAGTCGTCAAATTGATTAATATTTAGTAATAATATAATTCAAAATTATTTTTTAGATAAGCTTAAACAAGCTTACAAATCAAGCTTACAAACCTTGACGTGAGTAATCATACCCTCAAAACTTTCTAAACAAGGTTTCCAAAATTTTTTTGAACCTTGCGAAATTTTGACAGTTGATGGAACCATAAAAGATAGTAATAAGAGCTTGATAAATATTTTTGTGTCTAAAAAAACATCCTTAGTTTATAAAATTTTATTTTTAAATAATAATATTTCATTCAAATAAAATTGAACATACCCGCATTTACATTCTCATCATTACATAAATCTTTCAAGTTTTTACATATCTCATCTCTTGGAAATGGTTTTTTCAAATAAACTTTTGAAAAAAAAATATCAATATTTTCTATTGCATTCTTTTTAATGCATATGCCACTTTTAATAAAATCAATCTTTATAAGCTCGTATCCTTTACAGCTCTTTAAAATTGGCCAATCCAAGTAAAAACTACTAACTAGTTTATTGCGATCACACTCGCTTTGGCGGTGTCTATAATTGAAGGTATTTTCCCAATGAACTTTTGCTATGTCCCATGGCTCTTCGTGCATATTAAGCCAATCCAGACTCTCTTGTTCTTCTAATGAAATTATAATATCTTCTGAATCTTCTAAATTTCTTTGGTTTGATTGATATACTGCAATAGGAAGTTTCAAATTCTGATACTTATTTAATAATTTACCGCAAGCTTTCTGAGCTTTTCCAGAAACTGATTTTCTTTTTGTTACAGCTGGTGAGTAATAAATACTGCGCAATTCCGTCGGAAATACATCAACAATTTTATTTCGTAGTATCATAAAATCACTCTCCTGTAAGTCTCTAAAAAAATTACAATTAAACAACTTTTTAGAAGCGCATATTTATTTAAAACACAATTACACACACACACACACGCGCCCGCGCGTTAAGTTACCTTTTACAATCTCTTAGAACAGCACAAATGATGAGGTGTACAACTTTTTTTCTTTGTGATACCGTCAATTGACTCTTAGCAGCATATGTATCAATTATGAACTTCCCTTCGAATGATTTGTTTAGTATCTCTGATATATCAACATTTTCAGTTATAAAAATATCATTAATCCTTGGCTGGTTATTATCAATTTGTTGGAGAACAGCTCTTGGAGGAGATAAAGAGTTCCTTTGTTGGCTAGTTTGATTTGATTGACTCGTTGCTGGCTGAGGCTGACTGCTCTAATAATTTATAATATTTTTCATAAGATAGGATTACAATTTTTTTACAGAAAGTAAATAGTACTAATAAAAGTTTTATAATTTTGCTTGTTAGTAGAATTTTTCTAACTTTTTAAATTAAAATTTTAAATGAAAATGTTTTTATTGCTATTTAATAATAAAAAATAAAAAATAATAAATATAGTTTCCATACTTACAGCTTCATTAGATAAATTGTTTTCTTTATCGACTATATCTCGTGTGCAAGGTGAATAATTTCTTTGAGAAGTAGATATAGCATTTGTTTGGCTCTTTCCTGAATGAGGTTGACTATTCTAAAAAAGAATAGTATATATTTTTCAGAATATTTTACTCAAATTGAACCAGTAAAAGTTTGATAAACTATAATCATTGGTAAAATATTTAATACGTTTTTTAATTAAACTTTGATTTTCTTAGCTCTATCTGATAAATAGCTATACAAAAACTCAGTAGTACTTACAGCTTTTCCAGAAAATATCTCTTGATGCTTTTTCCAAAATTGACCAACTAGATAAGGTGGTAAAAGTCTTGTTGCGTCAGAGTATGTCAAGCTTTTCACTTTTTCATATGTAATTCCGTTTTCTACAAATATATTCTTACAAGTATACTCAATTTACTAGAATTTTAATATAAAATAAGAATTACCCTCAAATACAAACAGTAAATTGTCACATTCCAAGTTCATGAGCAGCGTCAATAAATTATCTGCAGGCATGATGGCTTTTGTACACTCAGTCGTAGTAAAAAATAAAACAAACTTGTTATTCTTAATAGTACACAATCACTATTTTTTTTTAATAGTACACAATCACTGTCTTTCTTAATATTATAAACTATTCAAAGCCTGCTTTAAACATATTCGAGCATGTGGTAGTTACACTTTTTTAAGGTTACGATAAAGACCGGCATTTGAAATCGTGAAGTGTGAACAACGCAAAGAGCGCGTGCGGAATGTCAACACTCCATATGCCAGAGGTCACAGTGCACTTGACGCAGCATATAGCTTATGCTACATGTGGCTATACCAAACTATATATTATATGTAATAATAATAAAACTAGTATTGGTGATCGGAATGTAGTGCCCTGAAATGTACATACGTATACTGCTGTCTGTGCTGTATGTCGGTATTACAACGTCCCCAAGTACTATATTCAGCAACCGGCGACGATCAAGAAGAAAAATGTTGAATTGTTAAAATATAATAATGTCAATGTATGCACATATTAAAAAAAAAGTAATTATGATTGCATCAACTGAAAACATAGTTATACCATCGAATTTTTTTACTGATTTAATGAAAGTTTTTATTGATTTAATGAAATATTTTAGTAATTCAAGAGATTGTATTTCAGTAATTCAAATGATTGTTTTGTAAAATTAAAAGTAAACCACGGGTATTTTTACAAAACGAGATATCGAAATGACAGAACTATCGGTTAGCACATTTCAATTGAAACTTTCCGTAAAATGAACAGCTGTTTCGTTGACTTGACCGTAGAGTCGTTTTTTCAACTGTTTAATAGTTGAATCAAGCGACGCGTAGTTGAATCAAGCGAAGTACGGTTAACTGCACAGAAGTGTAGTGTATTAAACGGACTATTGGTCAAATCGACCAATACGAATTTTCAGTGTAGTATTCCAATCGCTTCAACAAAAATTTTCTTTATGCCATATTATTCCAAATTAGCCTTTGTGACATGTTGTATTTTTAGCATTTCTTCTTAGCAGTTTCAGGACAGTATTGACTCATAGCTTTGAGAGCAGCTATATTCATTATTGAATAGTGGACACATTTAAAATGTATTCTTGCACTATAGCTACTTGCATTTTCATATTTCTTCATAAAAAGCTTTTTTTTCTAAATCACCACCACGTTTAAGTAATTTTCATTGTCCTGGAAAGAAAATAAGTTTTAACAAAGTATCTACTCTACAATCAAACAATAGTATTGTTAATAATTGAAAATTTTAACAAAAATATACTTATCTAATATTACAGCTTCTTTTTTTACAATATTCCACGCCAGCTTTTCTGATTTTATACTTCAATTGTACATAATCAACTTATATTTTTTAATAATAATCAATCATTTCAATACTCTAGATTATCTCTAAATAATGTTGTTTGTAGTATAAATTAAACTCGTGTCCACTATCTATTCATTTCTCAAGTACCTCTCTCCCGGAACATTACCAACCTTTGTAATGATGCACGACGCAGAGATTATTCGCAACCTTTGCTGCGGCGACACGCACACACATAGACCATACCTGACCTACCTTATCCCAGCTGGCAGCTCGAAATAAAAAAAAAAAAAAAATACTAGTCGAAATATCTGTAATTGCACCCTCCAAATATGTTAATAATTTTAACTGCACCCTTCTTGTTCTTTAAAAATAAATTAATGAACAGTGCATGTTTTACGGAATCTTTCAACAGCGATATTCTTGATAAATAATCAATATTTTTATGATGTTAATGATGGAAAAAACTGTACCCGTGCTAATCTTAATTGAGCCACCTTTACTTTTCAGAAATTATTAATGCTAATAATAATAATAAATAATTGAAAAAAACGATTTTTTCATAAGCAATGCATTAGTAATGCTCAGAACGCATGCGCGTTGCGCGAATCGTAGAATTTTCAAAATTTCTATTACAAAGTGTTGGTAGTGGCAACTTTGAGGACTGCTACATATTGTTTTGTTGGTATTGTTTATTTGTGGAATTTAATAAAGAGTTGTAATAGTTAAAGATGCCAATTCAAAATGATAAAAAATGATTAAAATTGACGAAAATTGATTGAAGTTTGATTGAAAATTATACAAAATTAATTCTTTAAATAATTTTTACACGTGCATTGTCATCAGTTAGGAAAACAGCTATAATAACCCACATATTAGATTTACATGTGCACATTAGTATACGTGTATCTTTTCTTATTTATCAAAATTTTAGTGTGACTCGGACAATGATAGCGATACTGATGTTTCGAGAAACATTAAATTGCGTCGTTGCAGTTCTACAGATAAAAAGGATGAACGGAGACAATTATCTGATGTTGATCAAATGACTGAAGTGGATATTGGAAATATCTTATCGTTTGAAAATCAGGCTTCCCCTACAGTTTTCAAAGAATCTGCTATTCCAAATGATCAAGACAGATCTAATAATATATAGACAAATCTGTCGAGGTAAAAAATAAAAAGTATTTAATTAAGGTGAATTTCTAGTGAAATTTCCCATGCTTTTTTTCCAACACTTTTTTTAAGCCTTTATCTAGAATTCTCAAAATGTAGTCACTTGTTCAATATCACAATACAAATATTTTGAGATCACTCTTATCCTGTTAGCATCATCTTTTCTGTCCTTAATTATGATCTTATAAGATAGATTATATCTTCTTCCATTTAAAATGTTCTATGCGCATACTACTTTGATCAAAGTAGTTGTTCGAGGGATCTCTTCGAAGATGCAAACCCTACAAATATTAGCAGACATGTTATCTAGAAACCAATTTTAAACTGAAATAAACAACAGAATGTCAGAAAAAGTGTTATTATTCATTGATTTTGTAAATTTTATTTACATTTCATGGTTTATTTCAGTTGGGGATGGATTTCTTGAAAAAGTCTCTGATAGGATTTGTAACATTTTCTTCTTCGAAAAAAATGGGCCTTCGAACAATAATTTTGGTGACAATAGTATGCGCATGGAACATTTTGAAATTAGGCTTGTGAAACAGCTAAATATGTTCTGATATAATGAATATATGTGCAAAGTTTTAAAATCCTAGATCAAAATACAAAGAAATTAGGATTTTCACCAGAAACTCACCTTAATATTATTATTTTTTCAAATATTAAAATTCTCAATTCTGCAATGTTTTGTCAGACTGCCAATAAGACATTTGAAAAGAGAGAACCGCAACTAATGGTCAAAGTAAGTTCCAATAGAGAACAATTGTTTTAATTCTTTTATGTGCTATCCAATTATAAAGGACCCCGCACAAAACTTATATAGGAAAAAACTTTCTGTCGAATCGGTTCAAACTTCGGGATCAGATAACTCTTATTATGTAGATCAAAAGCCTCCACGGGCATAATGGTCGCCAAGCGCTAGAATTCGAGTTATTAATTCGAGTTAACTGCAGTCCTAACCGTAATAGCTGTTTTCCCATATAAGGTTTGTGCGGGGTCCTTTTTTTATTCGATTCTTGGTAATTAAGTTAAATATTAATATTTTTGTCGCACAGAAGAGTCAGGATTTCATACCCAATGATGTTCTAAAGTTAAAAGAGAGACAAATCTCTGACTTAAAAAGAAATATTAAAAGTTTAGAGAAGAAATATAAAAATTTGAAGGAGGATTATGCCAAGTTAAATAATAAATATGAAGATTTGAACATTAGGCATCTCAAATTAGTTAACAATATGTCTCAAGATATTAAAGATATAAAAGGTTAGTACTAATAATAGGTATGTTCAATATTATTTGAAAATGTTTTCCCCAAAATTAATTTTTGTATAAATACAATATATTGCTATTGTTTTCGTCAGTAATGCTGTTAAAATATTGCGATAGTATTTTCGAAATTTACTGGCTTTATTTTAATGTTAGATGTAGGTATATGGACAAGGGATCCCCGATTTGTACCAAAAGATTCGATTTTTCATAATCGCTTAATAAAAGACATCGATTTTTAACAAAAAATACTCTAAGAATCGATTAGAGCATTAATTATTGATAAATATCCTTTTTTTATAAATACAAATTAAATATCATTCTTTTATTCTGGTTGAAATTCATAAATTTTCAAGAAATTATGATTTAATTTATAACGATTTTGTAACTAGAGGTTGACAAGGTCAGCTGTGAGTTTAAATAAGATGAATTTGAATTTTAACTAAAAAAACCTAGATTTGTAAGTAGAATTGTAAAATAATAGCCACTTGAAATAATCTAATAAATTTTACGACCGAAATAATGGAGCAATTATTTAAAAATCGATTTTAATCGGAGATCCCTAATATGGACTTTGTCCTGTATATATAATCACGTAACAATTTCAGTGCTACATCTTTCGTGAACAGGATGTCTCACTGCTGTTGAATTTGACGCAGATTCGGTGAGATTTATTAAGAAGTAGGTGACGACTACTATAGTTTTTTTTGGTTGTGGTAATTATATATTTGTATGGGTTGCATTTGTATATATTTGCCAACCTTGGTACACCTTTTTCAATCGGTTTCTTTTTAAAATATTTCGTGAACTGATTGTTGCACCGA